ATGTTTATGAGTAATTGTTTTATATATTTGTGCGCTCCGGTATTTGGCACATAGACATTTATAATTGTTAGCTCTTCCTGATGGATAGACCCTGTCACTATTATATAATGTCCTTCTTCATCTCTTGTTACAGCCTTTAATTGAAAGTCTAGTTTGTCTGATATAAGTATGGCTACTCCAGCTTTCTTTTGGCTTCCAGTAGCATGATAAATAGTTCTCCATCCCCTCACTCTCAATCTAAAGGTGTCCTCAGGTCTAAAATGAGTCTCTTGTAGACAGCAAATAGATAGGTCTTGTTTTTTTATCCATTCTGATACCCTCTGTCTTTTGATTGGCGCATTTAATCCATTTACATTCAGTGTTATTATAGAAAGATATGGGTTTAGAGTCATTGTGATGTCTGTATGTTTTATGCTTGTAGTGATGTCTCTGGTACTTTGTCTCACAGGGTCCCCCTTAGGATCTCTTGGAGGGCTGGTTTAGTGGTGACAAATTCCTTCAGTTTTTGTTTGTTTGGGAAGACCTTTATCTCTCCTTCTATTCTAAATGACAGACTTGCTGGATAAAGGATTCTCGGCTGCATATTTTTTCTGTCTAGCACACTGAAAATCTCGTGCCAATTCTTTCTGGCCTGCCAAGTTTCAAAAGAGAGATCCGTCACGAGTCTTACAGGTCTCCCTTTATATGTGTGGGCACGTTTACCCCTTGCTGCTTTCAGAATTTTCTCTTTATCCTTGTATTTTGACAGTTTCACTATGATATGTCGTGCAGAAGATCGATTCAAGTTACGTCTGAAGGGAGTTCTCTGTGCCTCTTGGATTTCAATGCCTTTTTCCTTCCCCACTTCAGGGAAGTTCTCAGCTATGATTTCTTCAAGTACCCCTTCAGCACCTTTCCCTCTCTCTTCCTCCTCTGGGATACCAATTATGCGTATATTATTTCTTTTTAATGTATCACTTAGTTCTCTAATTTTCCCCTCATACTCCTGGATTTTTTTTATCTCTCTTTTTCTCAGCTTCCTCTTTTTTCATAACTTTATCTTCTAGTTCACCTATTCTCTCCTCTGCCTCTTCAATCCGAGCCGTGGTGGTTTCCATTTTGTTATGCATTTCGTTTAAAGCGTTTTTCAGCTCCTCGTGACTGTTCCTTAGTCCCTTGATCTCTGTAGCAAGAGATTCTCTGCTGTCAGCTATACTGTTTTCAAGCTCAGCGATTAATTTTATGACTATTATTCTAAATTCACTTTCTGTTATGTTATTTAAATCCTTTTTGATCAGCTCATTAGCTGTTGTTATTTCCTGGAGATTCTTCTGAGGGGAATTCTTCCGCTTGGTCATTTTGGATAGTCCCTGGCGTGGTGAGGACCTGCAGGGCACTTCCCCTCTGCTGTGGTGTATAACTGGAGTTGGTGGGTGGAGCCGCAGTCAGACCTGATGTCTGCCCCCAGCTCACCGCTGTGTCCACAGTCAGACTGCTGCGTGCCTTCTCTTCCCCTCTCCTAGGGGCGGGATTCACTGTGGGGTGGGGTGGCCTGTCTGGGCTACTTGCACACTGCCAGGCTTGTGATGCTGGGAATCTGGCGTATTAGCTGGGGTGGGTAGGCAAGGTGCACAGGGGCAGGAGGGGCAGGCTTAGCTTGCTTCTCCTTAGGTGATCCACTTCAGGAGGGGCCCTGTGGCAGCAGGAGGGAGTCAGATCCGCTGCCAGAGGTTTGGCTCTGCAGAAGCGCAGAGTTGAGTGTTTGCGCGGAGCGAGCAAGTTCCCTGGCAGGAACTGGTTCTCTTTGGGATTTTGGCTGGGGGATGGGCGGGGGAGATGGCGCTGGTGAGCACCTTTGTTCCCCACCAAACTGAGCTCTGTCGTCAGGGGGCTCAGCAGCTCTCCTTCCCTTTGTCCTCCAGCCTTCCCGCTTTCTGAGCAGAGCTGTTAACTTATGACCTCCCAGACGCTAAGTCGCGCTTGCTGTCGGAACACAGTCCGTCAGGCCCCTCCGCTTTTTGCAAACCAGACTCGGGGGCTCTGCTTGGCCGGCGAGCCGCCCCTCCGCCCCGGCTCCCTCCCGCCAGTCCGTGGAGCGCGCACCGCCTCGGCGCCCTTCCTACCCTCTTCCGTGGGCCTCTCGTCTGCGCTTGGCTCCGGCGACTCCGTTCTGCTAATCCTCTGGCGGTTTTCTGGGCTATTTAGGCAGGTGTAGGTGGAATCTAAGTGATCAGCAGGATGGGCGGTGAGCCCAGCGTCCTCCTAGGCCGCCATCTTCCCTCTCTCCCTCCATACCATTTTTTAGAGTGGTGGCACAAGTTTGATTTCTACCAACAGTGAACAAGTATTCCCTTCTCCACACCCTCACCAACACCTCATGTTTCTTGTGTTGTTGATTTTAGTCATTCTGACAGGTGTGAAGTGATATATATTGTAGTTTTGATTTGTTTCCCTGATAATGAGTGATGTTGCGCATCTTTTCATGTTTCCATTGTCTTCTTTGGAGAAATGTCTGTTCATATCTCTGCTGATTTTTTAATTGGATTATTTGTTTTTGGGTGTTAAGTTTTATAAATTCTTTATATACTTTGGATACTAATGCTTTATCAGACATGTCATTTGCCAATATTTTACATATACACAAGATATACATACATATACACACACACATATATAAGATGCACATGTAGATATAAATATAAACATTCACACAATGGAGTATTACTCAGCCACAAAAAAAGTGAAATTTTGCCAGTTGCAAAGAAATGGATGGATCCAGAGAGTATTATGCTAAGTAAAATAAGTCAGATAAAGACAAATATCATGATTTAATCCATATGTGAAATTTAAGAAACAAAACAAATGAGCAAAAGGAAAAAATGAGAGAGGCAAACCAAGAATCAGATTCTTAACTATAGAGAACAAACTGATAGTTAACAGAGGGGAAGTGAGTAGGGGGTGGATTAAATAAATGATGGGGATTAAGAAGTGCACTCGTGATGAGTACCAGACGTTGTATGCAAGTGCTGAATCAGTACACCTGAAACTAATATTGCTCTATATGTTAACTAACTGGAATTTAAATAAAAACTTAAAAAAAAGAAATAAAAAGCAGTGTAATAGAAACCACTTGAAGCTAAACACACCAATGAGTAATCCCAGCTCAATAAGATACTGATCCTTAAACATGTTTGAATCTCAGTTTTCTTGCATAAAACGGGGATAATTATGCTATATTGCAGTTACAAAAATTAAAATAACATTTGTGGAATAACTGCTACACAGCAGTAAATTTACTGTCTCAATGTACAATTAAAAATGCAACATCAAATAAGAGAATTTTGGACACAATTGCCTCAGTGAAATACTCTTTAGGTGATTTTTTGAAGTCTCAACTCATTTAAAGTAAGAAGCAAATATCTGCAGATAAGCAGAAGACACTTTGGTTGTATACCCATTGGCACTGGAACTAGTTTTTATAATTTTGAAATTGTAATTTCTGTGCCCTCTGAATGAAACCTTCTTCCTTTCTTCCATCACAATTCATTTAACTAGTTTCTCTGTATAGCACGTATCTCATTGTGCTCATTATATTGTAGGTTTTTTTCAAAAGAAATTAAGACTTCTTCAGCCTAAATTTTTTCTTGACATACTAACTTTTAACTATCCCTAGTTACCAGGTGTTGGATCTGTCCCTCTAAACTCTTAGCTAGAGCTGTCGTTCTTCTACAAAGTGAATGGAGAGTCTGTGATGACCCTATTGCATCCCTGCAGAATCTGGAGACTCCTGGAGTCTGGAGACCTGGAGACTTTTGCAGAATCTAGGCAACTTCTCTCCCATCAGACTCTGGCTACCAGCCTGGGCTAAACTTGAATTTGACATCATCCTTTGCACATTACAAAAGAAACTGGAGACCACTTTCCCAACCCTTCCCCAGGACCTATGCTCACAGCACAGATTTTCAAGGCCAAGTACTACTATTCTTCATATCTCTTTTCCCTTAGGCATTCTATTGAGAGAACTTGGTGAACTTCATGTTTGAGTTTTTTCAGATTCAGAAAAAAAGTTAAATAAATATGAATGTTTTCAGAAAGCTTCAAAATCTTAAACAGATTGGAATACATTCCAATAATTTCTTTTATTTGATTGTTTTTATTTTACTTTCAACAATTTTGGCTAACATTGACCCTTAAATATATTCCAGTGATTATGCTAAGAATTTTATACTCGTTTTCTTATTCCAAAGAAGGTGTATACCTTGAGGACCCCTGTTTTCATTTCTTCTAGAATTACATTTGGGAAGGTGAGACTCCTCCAATATAGAATTTTACTAAATTAAAAAGTGGACAATATTAATATGAAAAAGTATGGCATTTTTATATTGCTCTTTACTTTGTAGGTGGACAAAATCAGAAGAGGAATAAAAAGTAGTGACCTAAATCTAAGAGTTATAATATCTTGACATTGTGGTCACAGAAATCTGGTCACAGATAAAAAGAAAAACTAAAGGAAAAATGCCCCACAGTTTTAAATATAGCAGTCTATACATTTTTCATACTGATTATCTTCCATTTTAACTTAGGGACTTGTACTGAATTGACAAAATTAATCAGAATTTTCTTCTTCGGTTGTAAATCATAAAGTATCCTTCTTTTGTCCAGTAATCAGCAAATTGTTTTAAGTACAAAATTGAAGGCTGACTCCAAATTTTCATATCATTTTTGTATCTGCACTTTCCTTGAATGACTAAAGTGTGCTATTTCTGTAGTAAGTCGGTTAGAAAGACTCTGATGATGCAATTAGAATCAGGATTTCTCTTTCTAGTTACTCTAGGAATTCAATTGAAACAGTCTTCTGTGTGAATAATTCTTTTTTCTTTTAAAGGCCTTGCATCTGGGTGATGCTTAGGAACTTAGGAAAATAGAATCCAATGAGAATTGCCTGTGTAATAATATAAGCTTCATAATGTTCTGAGCTGAGAAAACCAAGAAAATTCCATTTCCTGACCTATGGACTCATGGGATGTTCTGAAGATTAATGTGTCTCTTTCAGGGCACTAAGGTACATTTAGAGCACTAAAGAAGTCATTTACTAAATGGTGCCCTTGGGACTTGAAAGAGTTAATGTACCTCTCACAAGGTGAGCAATGTTCTCTCAAATGTATGCAAGGATCAGTACCAAGCTTATAAAGAATTGTGAGAATGTTGGTTAAAAGCAGCTGGTAGTCCATAACTCTATTACTCATTACTATAATCTTTAGTCAATATATTTGCTGGTATTCAGTGAGTACCTTAGGAACAACAGGCAGATGGGAATCTTCTTAGTTTTAAAACTGAAAATATGAGGTGCTATAAACATTGGCCCAGAAAAAATATTGTAAATATATAGATATTATCCAAATGGCTTGGATTTCAAAGGTGAGACAAATTATGGAAAACTAGACCTTCATTCAAAAGTGATTTTTTTTTTTTCTCAAATTAAAATCAGAATGGTATTGAATCTTTTGCCAATTTTCTTCTGGGGAAAAAATGTATTACTTAAAGGTAATTCTGAGACATTTAACAATATGTAATGTTAAGTGATAATAAAGACATAAAGTTGAATGTGGAATATAATCACATTTTTATTAAATATGTAACACATACGAGCCTAAAGAAATATGGCAAAATATTCAAATCTTTTACTCTCAGTGATGGGATTACAAGTTATAGCTTTATTTTAATTTTTTCTGTTTTCCCTGTCTGTAATGAACATGCCTCATAAAGACTTTTCTTGAGACTATTAAATGTTAAGAAAATGTGAAAACAGGTTAGTGGCAACATTCACATGTTAAATAGTGTTGCTATCTTGCTTTCTTTTCACCCTGAAGAAAGAATTTGAGCATTACTCTATGCGTGGTCCTTGCCAAAAGGGAATGTTATGCTCTTCTTAGTGACTCTTATAATGAAATTAATTACTTTTCATGGCCTGATCCATGTTTCTCGGTTAGGAAATTGGACATTAATAAGAGAGGAAACTATGTACCTTGATTGATGATGGACCTCAGGATTCTTCTTCATTCATTTCTTCCCAACCTTCTTACTCTTACTGGATGATCAAATCTATATTCATGGTTTCAAATGCCAATTTACATGCTAAAAACTCTCAAATATCTATCTTTAGAACAGAGCTCTCTAGTTTTTCTTGTTCTAGTATACAGACATCTGTATATATGGATATACTTATGACTCAATACAAGATGAAAACAATTTCAACTAAACTCAGAAGCTTCTCTAAATCCTCTTCTCTTTTTGTTTCCTTAGAGAGTGACATTGCTCTCCTACAATTTCCCAAAGCAGAAATACTGAAGCCATGCTTGACTCATTCCATAAATGTTACTGGATCACTCATTCTAAAAATATTACTTCCTATGTATTTCTTGTATTTTTTATTTCTTTTGAACTCGCTCTTACAACACTGATCAAGGTTCTCAATCTATCCCACATGAGGTCATGCAATAACCTCTGAAATCATCTCCCATCATTTGGTCTGTTTCCATATCTGTCATCCACATTAAAGTTGGAGTCACATGCAGTCATATTCAAGCCCATATTTATTTCTGATTCCAAAGCCTGAGATCTTTACATTATAATTTTTGTTCCCTATGATAAGGAATTTGGGGGAAGCTTTAAGCTTCTGTTTAGAAAAAGATAAAAAATCACTATATTCTTGTTAAAGATGGTGGGTTGAATTCAGGCATTAGCTTTCATTCCTTCCCCCAAACCCAAAAAATGATATAATAGATATTTATCTTTTGGACATAAACTTAAAAGTCCAAAAAAAAATCAAATATATATATCTGGAAGTTGAAAAATAATAGCTGATTAAATAGAACCGAGAATATAGAATCCCATGGCAGCAAAATTTGAGAAGCAAAAATACACACAGAATCCCCCAAATGATTAGGATAATCAGCACCAGGTACTTCTGGAAGTAAGGGTAAAGATGGAACCATAATCTAGAGAATTTTGGGAAAGTCTACTTGGGAAAGAGTTAAATGATCTTTTCATTCGTTCTGTACGCACCCAACCCCCCATGCAGGAATTGTCCCTCAGGAAATGCTAGATGTTTGTATTAGTTTTCCCAACAACAAAGGATGTATTTCTTGGTGTGGGTCCTCAATGAAAAGCAATATATTTGACTCTTAAAGAAACAATTAATTTAGAAATGCAAAAATAAATTATTTCCCCTTACCATGCACAATATTCAAAAACAGTAGAAATAACTAACCATAATATAATGTGACAAATTCTGTTACATACTTAGTAATTAAACACAATCAATCTGTAGGGACCACAGGAAGAGGATTTTTGAGTTCAGTCTTAAAGGGTATCTCTCTTTGTAGAATTTTTATGAAAGGTCACTAAGCAACCAATATTTAAATTTTAACTAGACTTTTGTAAATAATATTTGCACCCATAATAAAGATCCTGGCTGGCAGATAGCAGAAACAAATAAATCATCCACCAAAAACACTTGTGCCTTTGGTATAAAGCACATAGAAAACTCTGGAGAAGGGATATTGTAATGATTTTCTAATGCAGACATTCACTAACTTCATTCAATTCCAATGATCACAATTTAGCCCAAACAATGAAGTTGTTCTAGCCAAAGAAGATGTAAGGAGTTCCAGAAAGTGTTCTAATGGTTCAGTACAACTTCATCGCTGACAATTGGAAACAATACACATATACAATGTCTTGCCACATCTAATTCCTCAGTGTATCTGGAATTATTTTACTTATTATTAGTCATTTCTATTTTATGTCACTATGGCAGATTTTTTAGTGACATTTTTATGACTTCCTCCCAGATAGACTGTAAGCTCTTCAACAGGAAAGCCAGGAATCATTTATTCTTGTGCCCTCTGCACCTACCAAGATGATTAAACATATGGTACTCTATAAATGGTGAATGACTAATTTGACACTAATTCCAATACAAATTTTATTTCATTCTTCCTTGTGACCAGAAGTCTTTCTTGTCAATTAGATGAGCAGCTAAATGCCTTTATTGAGGAGTGCTGTGCTAGGGTTTCTGTTCTAAATATCCCAGGTCCCCAGGGTCTCAGACTCTTGTCCTGCTCTCCTTTCTTCTCTGGGAAACTAGAAGAGAGATTTGGAATTTTAGCCTTCAAAACTGCTATTAAACTTTTACAACAACACTTAAAAATTTTTTTCAACTTTTATTTATTTTTGGGACAGAGAGAGAGCATGAATGGGGGAGGGGCAGAGAGAGAGGGAGACACAGAATGGGAAACAGTCTCCAGGCTCTGAGCCATCAGCCCAGAGCCTGACGCGGGGCTGGAACTCACAGACCGCGAGATCGTGACCTGGCTGAAGTCGGACGCTTAACCGACTGCGCCACCCAGGTGCCCCACAACAACACTTAATATACTACTGCATCCTTCCATTTATTTCTTGTGTTTACATGAGGATGTAATTGAGGCACTGGCATTAGTTGAATCCCCATCATGTGCTAGTCACTCTTAGGAACTGTATTTGTTTGCTAGGTCTGCAGTGACAAAATACTACAAAGAGGGAGGATTAAACAACAGAGATATATTGTCTCATGGTTTTGGAGGCTAGAAGTCTAAGATCAAGGTGTTGCAGGATTGGTTCCTTCTGATGGCTAAGAGGGAAGGATCTCTCCTACCTTGTCATGGTTTGCCAGCAATCTTTGGTATTCCTTGGCTTATAGATGTATTACCCCAATCTCTGTTTTCATTTTCTTATGACATTCTCCTTGTGCCTTCACACTGTCTTTGTGCTTTTCTCTGTGTCCAAATTTCCCTTTTTTAAAAAATGTTTTTATATTTATTTTTGAGAGAGAGAAAGAAACAGAGTGCGAGTTGGGGAGGGGCAGAGAGAGAGGGAGACACAGAATCTGAAGCAGGGTCCAGGCTCTGAGCTGTCAGTATAGAGCTCGAGGTGGGGCTTGAACTCAGGAGCCATGAGATCATGATTTGAGCTGAAGTCAGATGCTTAACCAACTGAGCCACCCAGGCGTCCCCCAATTTTCCTTTTATAAGATCAGTTACACCAAGATTAGGTCCCAACCTAATGACCTCATGTTTTCTTGATGACCTCTGTAAAGATCATATATCTCCAAATAAGGTCACATTCTATAGTGTAGGAAATAAAATAGCTATGTCTTGGTTAAGGAGATTATAAGGAACACATTACACTACTTTCTGGCCCTGCTGAAAATAGTGGACCAGTATCTAGTTAATATGTATATAGGGTTGGGTCCTGCCTGTGCTCAGGAATATCTTAGACCATATTATCTATGGAATATCTTACCTTGTTCTCCACCCTGCTTAAGGCATCTGCTCTTTTGTAGTTTTGGGAATGCTTTGGTTTTCTTTTTCTTTCTTTCTTTCTTTCTTTCTTTCTTTCTTTCTTTCTTTCTTTCTTTTTTTTTTTTTTCATGTTTTCTGTGAGTTCTTACTGGCACATAACCAATGACATCTTCTGCAATGTTTCTCCTGTAATGTATGCCTAGTAAATACTGGAGCTTGAGAGCAGCTTGGGAGACTTCTCTTAGCCTCCCTCTCAATCCTTTCTGCCACTCTTGGCTTTGCTGGACAAAACTGAAAGCCAAACTTACAATTGGTGACCCCAATGTGATAAGCTGAAACCACAATTGGTGACGCCAATATAATAAGCTGAACCGACACTGTAGGACTTCAACATATGAATTTTGAGGTGACACAATTCAACCCATAAAAAAGTGCATTGTCTGAAGAAGATTACACTGAAAGTCTCTGGTGTGGGGGCATCACAGGTACAGTTGAGACTGGGATTTTCATTCTGAAATTTTGGAATAATTTAAGTGCTTTCTTATATGTCCATGACTGCTTACACATTCATCTCCACCAGATTCCAGAAATTTTATGGTTACAGATAGGACTAGGCCTTCTCATCATGAATTTGCGAGAAAATATACTAACACCACGGATTCTCTTAAGTAAATGGCCCAAAGAATCACCCTACTCTGAAGCCACCAAGTTTACTGGCATCACTCAATATTACAAAGACTGAGGTTCTAATCAGCATTTGGTTTCCCAACTCTTAAATGTGAACAGATAGCCAAAGGTC